TGCCTCCCAGTTATGTTTCCATCAGGTTGGATCGCGAGGTTCTGAGGAGAGAGGACAGGCTTCCTTGATTTTACTTCTTTTAAAAAAATGATGTGTATAGATTTCAGAGAGGAAGGGAGAGGGGGAGAGAGAGAGAGAAACATCCATGATGGGAGAGAATCATGGATCTGCGACATCCTGCACGCCCCACATCTAGGATCAAGCCCGCAACCCGGGCCTGTGCCCCGACCAGGAATCCAACTGTGTCCTCCCGGGTCAGAGGCTGATGCTCGACCCCTGAGCCACGCCGGCCGGTTGAGGCCCTGAAGCTCGGGCCCTCGTGGAAAACGTTCCTTCCACGTGACACACCTCGCGCTGGCTCCCACAGGGCAGTCAGAGGACGAGCTGCGGGTTTCAGTGAGACCCAGCGCTGCCTGAGCTCGGGAAGCAGCGTCAGGCCTGTCAGTCGCCTGCACCAGGCCAGGCAGAGGGAGGACGGTGTGGGGCGGCGTTGCCTCGGGCCTGCGGTCACTACGGCAGTTTTGGCGCCCCCTCCTCGGCCCCTGCCTGGGGATCGCCCCCCGGCTCCTGGCCTGCTCCGCGGCGTGGAAGGTGAGAACACATTGTGAGGAGCGTACACTTTCTATGTCCTCCACACGATGCGGCTGCTTCCCCAGGAGATCCCGGACACTCGGTGGCCGCAGTCAGGAGACACGTCGGTGTGGTCACTGCCCTGCCGGGACCGTTGCGTCTCTAAGGACTGCGTAGTGCGCCCTCCTCGCTCGCCCTCCTGGAACCCGGTCCGTCCCCTGAGAAGGGCACCTGCGGTGTTGGCCCAGCATAGCTGCCTCCCATAGGGCACCCTCCACGCAGCCGGCGTGGCTGAGGGGTTGAGCGTCCTCAACCCAGGAACCAGGAGGTCACGGTTGGATTCCCAGTCAGGGCACCTGTCCGTGTTGGGGGCTGGATCCCCAGTGGGGGGCATGCAGGCGGCAGCCGATCCGTGATTCTGCAGAGGAAAGAGACCAGTCAGTGAAGCGGCTCCCGACCCCGAGGCCTGGCCCTGGGCCTCCTACTCTCCAGGGAACGGGCAGGAGCCACCGGCCTCCGTGCCTGGGAGACGGGTGGGGGCCTTCGCCTCTGATCTCGGCAGCAGCCCCCAGGACTTGGAGGAGAAGGGCCCGAGGACAGCCCTGCCCCGATTCCCTCCCAGCCTGATCCCCTCCCCGCTGCCCGCCCTTCCCTTCACCAATGCGTCCTGTGTCGTCATGTGGACGCGCTTCCACCCTGTGTTAACGGGGTGAGTATGGGGTGCACTTTTCTGCTTCGTCAGACAGAGAGCCCTCCTCTTTCAAAGACTCCCGTGCACGTGTCACATCACATACTGATGACGTTTATGTTCAGTTTCTTCACAGGAGAATCCACGCGTTCTCTGAAGGCCTGGCTTCCACGTTGGCCGGGCACGGACGCCCCTTCCCAGCTCAGTGTCCTGCTCTCACGCTGGACACGCCTCCCGCCGGGCGTGCTGGGAGGGTCTGGGTTGGGCGGTTGCTGACGCGCAGTCTCTAAAAATTATGTGAAACACCCGTTGCTTTTCCTTCCTGAGGCCGAAGAGCTCCCTGATGCTTTTTTGTGTGCGCAGTTGCCGCAGGACGGGAGGAGATGAGTCTGGAAATTGTCCCTATAAAAAGGGAAAATGACCCAGAAAGGGCACATCATGTGTGCAAATTGAAAGGGCAATGGGCATTTCAGGGCTCCCTGGGGCCCGGGTGTCTGTGATGGTGGCGCTGTCCAGGGTGCTGAGCAAGCCCAGGCCCGACAGCGGACAGCTCACTGCCAATGGTCCAGTCGCCTGTTACTCAGCTACTGGAGGCCATCGGCTAAGCATCTGAGCGGAATACAGACTTACTCACTGGCAGATCCACGAGGTTTTCTACCACAGCGCATTTTACAGTGGAAGCCGGTGGCCACAAAGACGCAGCCCAAGGCCATGGGCAGGTGCCCTTCACCCCGGCTGCTGGGCGTCGGCTCCCTCCCGCCTCCCGCGGGGCTGCTCCGTGCTCTCTTAGGAGGTGGTCTGAATCCGTGCCTTTGCCTCAGGTTGTCGCATGTATTCATGGCAGGGAGAGCGTCACTCGATACCCCTGCTGGAGGCCGTGAGGGGCGTCAGAGTGCGTCACACACCACACAGGCCTCCGGGTTTGTCCTGCGACCTGACGCCGTGCGGCCGCTGTCTCCAGCCCCAGCCCTTGGTGCCGCTGGGCCTTAGGCCAACATCCCTGAATAAAACACCGGAGGGAGCCCTGAAAGAACTAAGTCTTTGCCCTAACGGTTTGGCTCAGTGGATAGAGTGTCGGCCTGCGGACTGAAGGGTCCCAGGTTCGATTCCGGTCAAGGGCATGTACCTGGGTTGCGGGAACATCCCCAGTGGGGAGTGTGCAGGAGGCAGCTGATCGATGTTTCTCTCTCATCCATGTTTCTAACTCTCTATCCCTCTCCCTTCGTCTCTGTAAAAAATCAATTAAATATACTTTAACCAAGAAAAAAAAAGCAAAACGAAGAACTAAGTCTTGTACCTCCGCGGGAGAGAAGGAGGAGGAGCGAGGAGAGGAAGGTGAGGTCATCATGTCTCGGGGGGAGAAGGAGCCGCCGGGCTGGGCACCATCCGTTCTGGGCAGGACGATGGGAAAGCCACACCGCACACGCCAGGCGGGTTGCTGTTCCCTGAACAAGCCACCGACTGTCACCGACGGGCTTCCTGTGGGGGCTTTAATCTGCAGCACATGTGGCCACCGTGAAAACAGTGACTCAATTGCAGAGACCTCTCCAACCCAGCCCAAGCCTTAGTTTCTGAGAGTGTTTCATGGCATTTTTACTAAAGGCGAAATCGGTTTTGCCCGTTAACGTTCCCTAGCAGTTTCTGTTCTTCTTACGCGTCGGCCAGGACTGTGTGACGGAGCTGTCCTGCCCCCACCATTACCTCCAGGGCACCCACAGCCCTCGCCCATCAAAGCTGGACCAGGGGCAGTTGCGGAACATGCAAATGTCATAGAGGCCACTAGGGGGCGCTGAAGAGCAGACGGGTTTCTTTGCCAGCATTATTTCTCAGAGCTGTTTCACCAAATATTGTAAAGATCTTTTTTTTTTTTAAGTAAGAAGGTGGAAGAGGAGGAGAGAGAAAACTGGAAGAGAGAGAGAATGGGGGAGACGGGGGCAGCAGACATGGGGAAGGAGTGGGAGAGACCTGATTCCCCACCAGGGCACGTGCCCGGTTGTGGACTCTGTCCCCAGTCGGGCGTGCAGGGGGCAGCCGATCCATGATGTCTCTCTCGTCAATGTTCCTATCTCGTCCTTTCCCTTCCCCTCTATCTCAAATCAATGAAAACATATCTTAAAAGTTACTTAAAATAAGAAGGGGAAAGGAGGAGAGAGAAAACTGAACGAGGGATTAAGAGAAGGGGGGGGAGGGAGCAGAGATGGGGAAGGGATGGGACAGACCTGAGAAGAGCAGTCATGTTACTGCAAAGCCAGGAACGATGTAGGATGTATATCTGAGGCCGTGAGGTCAGGTGTGCACGTGTGACTAATTTTTGTTTCGCTATCGCTATGTGATCAGGGTCAGAAAGTGTTATTGATTCACTCGAGGTTCGGGTCAGGGGGTTCTCTGTCCTTTGGTTTAAAGTCAGTTGTTTATGTCCCTTCTTCCCAGGTTCACCATACACACACGCGCGCGCGCACACACACACACACACATACATTCATACACACACAGACTCGCACACACATGTTCTGTAACACGTCACATAATCATCAGGCCACAGGGCCCTCGTTCTCAAGAAAGTAGCTCATTTTATGTATTTATTTATATTTTTAATAAAATAAAATTTAAATCTATATACATATTTTATTGACTTCAGAGAGGAAGAGAGAGATAGAAACATCAACAATGAGAGAGCATCATTGGCCGGCTGCTAGGTCGAGGCTCAACCACTGAGCCACGCCGGCCGGGCTCTCGCTCCCATCAAGCTCAGGGCTTGTCCAGTGGGAGGCACATGTGGACGGTCCCCCTGTGGCCGTGGCTTGTCC